AAGAAAGGTAATTGAAACAAAATAAATGAAAACAATTATTAACAAATTATGAGTCAATAACAACGACTGGACAAGAACTTAGAGTTCAATAAACAAAAGTACAGAATTAATTTTAATCTTACAATGACCAGTGGTCGATTAAATTAAAGTGTAATAATAACGTAACAAGCCTATAATTTCATTGAACAATAGACAGTCAACTCAGATACAATATTGAGTGAGCAGCTCAACGATTTAATTAGTTTAAATTAATTGAACTTATGGACTGGATTTGCTGTGTACAACAACATGAATAACTGTACAATCATGTGCGACAACAATGAGCAAATATATCTAGTTCCAAGCCAAAACACTATTATAAGTAAACATTAAATTACTAAAAATTTAACTGCACTTTTAACTTAAATAAATTGTAAATTTTATCTTACTGGACAACTGAAACAAGGGGTTCGCACATTAACAGACTCCTGAGAATGGTCTAATTAAATGATTTTATTGTTACAAGCAAGCATAGAGTTAATATATCCAAAGTTTTAATGCAAATGACACTGTGCACTATGGTCAATGTGAGCTAATGTGCGAACCACAAGGTATATAGATAACAAATAATAGATAAAAATGTTGAAATTATTACCAATTAATATTATACAAATTTGATTCTGTATTGCACTGCCAGTACAAACAGGCTAAAAATCGTGCTTACGAAAAAACAATTGACAAACAATTTTAATAATAAAACTAATTAAAACTAAAAAAAAATAAAAGTTTTAGGTTATGAGAAACAAAATTAGTATTACAACGAGAGCGAGATGTGGAAAAAAAAAACGTTGAACAAAAACACTAGTAATAAGGCGACGAATATCGAGAGAGTGAAATACAAAACCATAACGGCCAAGTGTCCGATGAGTGGAGTGTTATCACCAGCTGATACACTATCAGTATGACCAACTTGAGCGTTCACCCGAACAACCTGATACCTCCTATAAATAGCGAGGTACCAGATAGATTATTAAAATATTCATTTTTTAAAAAGATAGACCTTTTTTATTTTAAAGTTCAATGTATTACCCATAATAGAAATGTAGGTTTGAATAAGGAAGGTTTTTTTTGAAAATTATCAAACATTGAAAAGAAATATAATTTTAGTATATCGATTATACCCCACTCAGCACTTTAGTAAATTAAAAAATTTAAAAAAAAATTCATTGAAAGTAAAGTATTTGTACCTTAAATAGTATCACTAAGTATTTAATTTTGTATTATTTTAGCTATGAACAGGTATAGATCATTAAGTATAGTTTTTAATATAAATACCCTATCTCAACACCTCAAAATGTATGATTTTTTAACTTGTAACGCTCTATACTGAACAAGTACGCAAACAAACTATTACTTAATTAATTAACCAGTTAAAAGTAGAGGAGTGAATTTAAAAATCATCGTACGATATCTTGTTTGCATGTACAACTTAATTGTATCATTAAACAAGATAAATATTCATTACCTATCGTAAATTTTAATTTGGATGTTGAGACTCTAGATAAGTATTCAGAGTGGCATTTATAATTTGTAAATAATAAGTGTGTTTTATTTTAAGTTAATTATTTTTTTCATAATTTGTATATAATATTAATAATAATACATTAAGGCTATCATAATTAGAAATTGTTTCTAGTGATATGCTTGTGATAGGATGAAGTATTTTCCATGAACAGGTATAGATCAATAAACAAAGTTTTTTTTCATGTTCATAATCAATTTCACCATATAAAATTTAACATTTATACATGTGATAATGTATACTGTATAAGTATGTGCAGTCCAAATCTATCATACAAACTTGACCTGTTATTTAGTCAACAAGTGTAAAGACGTTTTTATTTCAACCATTGTTAATTTTATTTTTTAACATCATTTTATTATCATTTTTAATAATCTATTGTAGTGATTGATATGTCAAAGCAGTACGGCAAAACTACAGTCCTGTCTTTTGACCTACGTATTGAAATTGAAGCATCAGCCACTTTCCCCGTTAATACAACTGCATATGCTCTAGTAATTTTAGACTATGTATTTACTTATACACATTTTGACGGAATAGTCCGTATAATTTAATATTAATTTTTTCACGTTTATGTAAATATTTATTATAAAACTTGTAATTATTATTATTATTATTATGAAATAAATGTATTATATAAAAATAACAACAATTCTTTTTTTAGCTTCGATGCGAAGCTGAGAAGGTATTAATTTTACCATGATGTGTTTTTTTTTATGTCTGTTGCCACTTTTTCTCAGCTCTCACTGGACCGATTTCTTTCAAAAATACGTCAAAAGATCACAAATCGTATCTAGTTGAAGACATTACCCTTAAAAATTGAAAAAAATTTTCTCGTTCCCCGCAAATGGGGGGAATATCCAAAAAAATTACAAATTTAAAATAGGTAAATTTTATAATTTTTTTCTCATTTTTTTCTTAAAACTTCCATAACTTTTTGAAAAATCAACAAATCTACATAATTTTTTTTTATACTAAAACCTTAGTTATTATCTTTCATTTAATATCATTTTTTTGAAAATCTATCACTTAACCTGCTCATTGGGGGGGATTTAAAATAGTAACTTTTTTTCAAAAACTAACTTTTTCAACTTAATTTTTGAAAATGTTCCGGGAATACTGCGTCCTTTAAACATATATCAAATTAAAGTTAATTTTATGTACTACAAAATGAAAAAACCAAATTTGTCCCGACTCTTTATCTTCTGCATGTAAACGGCTGACGTAGTAAAAAAACGCTATTTTTGTGTTAAAATTTTCGATTTTAAATTTTCAACTTAAAAATGCTATAACTTTTCGAAAAATGTAATTATCAGCACAAATTTTTTTTTTTCTAAATACATTATAAGTACATCTTTCATTTAACATACTTTTTATTAAAATTTAACAATTTCCCCATATATAGGGGGCGTTCAAAACTTGAAACTTTGTATAAAAAGTTGAACTTTTTCAACTTAACTTTTGAAAGTGTTCCGGAAATACTGCGTCCTTTAAACATATATAAAATTAAAGCTTATTTTATGTACTATAAAATAAAAAAAAAAAATCTGTCCCGACACCTTATCTACTATATGTAAATTGCTGTCGACATTTAAAAAAAAATGTAATATTTGCGATAAAAATCACCTTCTATAAGGATGTTTTTTGTCCTTAAAACTGCCATAACTTTTTCAAATATTAACAAATCAAAATAATATTTTTTTATATTGAAACCTTAGGTAATTTCCTTTCGTTTGATATCATTTTTTTTGAAAATCTAACACTTATTCTGCTCACAAAGGGGATTTAAATAGCAACTTTTTTACAAAAACTAACTTTTTCAACTTAATTTTTGAAAATGTTCCGGAAATACTGCGTCCTTTAAACATATATCAAATTAAAGCTTATTTTATGTACTATAAAATGAAAAAAAAAAATTTGTCCCGACACTTTATCTTCTATGTGCAAATGGCTGTCGAAATTATAAAAAAAATGTAATATTTGCGATAAAAATCACCTTTTATAACGATGTTTTTTGTACTTAAAACTGCCATAACTTTTTCAAATATTAACTAATCAAAATAATATTTCTTTATATTGAAACCTTAGGTAATTTTCTTTCATTTGATATCATTTTTTTTTGAAAATCTAACACTTATTCTGCTCACAGGGGGGATTTAAAATAGCAACTTTTTTACAAAAACTAACTTTTTCAACTTAATTTTTGAAAATGTTCCGGAAATACTGCGTCCTTTAAACATATATCAAATTAAAGCTTATTTTATGTACTATAAAATAAAAAAAAAAAATCTGTCCCGACACCTTATCTACTATATGTAAATTGCTGTCGAAATTTAAAAAAAAATGTAATATTTGCGATAAAAATCACCTTCTATAAGGATGTTTTTTGTCCTTAAAACTGCCATAACTTTTTCAAATATTAACAAATCAAAATAATATTTTTTTATATTGAAACCTTAGGTAATTTCCTTTCGTTTGATATCATTTTTTTTGAAAATCTAACACTTATTCTGCTCACAAAGGGGATTTAAATAGCAACTTTTTTACAAAAACTAACTTTTTCAACTTAATTTTTGAAAATGTTCCGGAAATACTGCATCCTTTAAACATATATCACATTAAAGCTTATTTTATGTACTACAAAATGAAAAAAAAAATGTATCCTGACGACCCATCTTTTATGCGCAAATGGCTACCGTATTCAAAAATATGCTATTTTTCTATTAAAATTCTAGGTTTTGTATTTTATTTTATTTTAAAATATCTTATTAGGAGAATACATGGTGAAAATATCTACCGTATTTAAAAATTGCTATTATTGTGATAAATTCTTGATTTTGTATTTTATTTTATTATAAGGAAATTACACTGATTTTCATAAATATTATAACAATCTAAATGACATAGTATAAAAAATTAATCATATTTTAATTTTTTTGTTTCTTTGAAGTCGAGAAAAATATCTTTAAAATTTGAACTAGCTAAATTTCCATTTTTATGAAGTGACAAACGAGACGTACTGTCACTTTTAGGAATAATATCGCATATTTCTTTGTCATTCAAACTTCTTATAAAGTTAACCATTTCATCATTGTTTGATTATTGAATTTTAGGGCCTGACCATTTACCGTCGCCGTATTGTATTATACGTGTTTTTATTTTTCTTGATACTGCACTGTAAATCCATTAGTCTTTTAATGTTTTCGTTATTCAATAACACTCGACACCCATCGACCCTCCTGGATTCTAATACTAAATGCATGGTGTCAAGGTATAATACTTTAGATATATTAAAATCGACATTTTGGTATAACATAATGTTCTCTCCTTTTACTGGCGGTGATTGTAGAAATAATGTTATTTCATCCATCATACGATAAATAATATTTAAAAAGTCTACTGACATACTAATATGTCGTGAGGGAGTAATAATGCATACCGTAACATTAAAGTCCTCCTTTGGATTCAGCCCCACTTGCAAAAATTTTCTGTCGTTGAATGCAATAGTGTAACTACTAGAGTCAATCATCTCGGATGGCGGTGTTGGTGCGATATAAATGTAGCGCTGTTATCTTACAGGTTCGGCAACCATAATGTTCATATAGTAGTCTTTTTAGAGCTGATGGTTCTTAATGACACTGTAACATTATCAAAGATTTCACGCTCATTTATGCAAAAAAATCATATATTTTCATAGGAGGTCAGCAAATCACAGAACACATATCCCCGTATACTAACCCTTTCCTTCGTGACTTAAGTAATTTCACTTTAATATCATAATAATTAATTTTAAACTCACGATTTCTAAATATTTGTATACAGATATACGTAATAGAGTATGTATATACATATGTTTTAAACAATAATGTTTACACATTAATAATTAAAAATAATTTGATAAATTTTTCTCTTTAATTACAAAATAACTGAATTCTTATGAATTAGTAAAATTTTGTACATATTTATTTATTTACTTTAATATCATAATAATAATCACCTTATGGTGAGTGTGGTTACACATCACCTCTCCTTCTATGCGGGGGTAAATTGTAAATCGACTGTTTTAATACATACGTTAGTCAAGAAAGGGGGACTCTCTATGGTCATAGGCATACACGACACATAGCTATAGTTGGGTTTCATTGGGTTAATATGCCGCCACCACCACTCGATTGCACCTTTCACTTTTCGGTGCTCAAATATTTTCACATATTTTTAAAATGATACAATTTTCAAAATACCTTTAATTTTCTGTAATATATCAAAATATACTATATGATGTTCCATCTACCTTGGTATACTATGAATATACCAGAGCATACAATACATATGCCATGGTAACTTTATATGTATCATGGTATAACACTATTAAGGAACGAGCAACATTAACCTTTCACCATAACCCCCCACCGTTTACATCGCCCGTAAACCTTAGGCAGGGTAAACCAACATGTGGTGGGTTAGGGAAGTATGCAGCTCATATTTTATACATATACTAGGAACTACACATTTTAAAACAAAATCCATTGAAATATACGCTTAAATCTAATATATACCAATGAGAAAAACTGTAATTTCAGTAAATATTCAGTTTGTATACTAGGAAACGTTACTGCAGTAACACTTCCAATTTTATATTATAATATAAAATTGAAAGGGTTAAATTTGTAAAATAAAGGCAAATATTTATTTGAAATATTAGTACTGTAAGGAAACAATTTTTCTAATTATATTATAAGCATATTATAATTTGATTAATTTACAATCAAGAGATGGTTATACATAGATTTGTAAATTTTTATTGAGTTATTCTGAACACTGCAACATACTTAACAAATTTATAATAAATTGCTGGATAACTAAGTAATGTGTAGTAATTATAGGTAAATTTATTGAGGGCTTAAGTGGTTTGATCTATGCTACTGTATGTATCTACAACAAGCCCATACTCTATCTATAGTAGTTTATATTTAAGTAAAATATAATTTAACACTTAAAAAATTATTAAATTAAATAGACATTGAGTGTTATAAATTATAACACTTTCAACTTAAATAATTTTTAGGTTATAGTATGACAAAATGGTAACTAAATTATTAATGGATTATAAATATAAAATATATAAATAGTATAAAATATGACAGATTGGTCCATGATTACAGTGGTGTTTTAAAAAGTAACAAAATATATTGACTAAATCAAAAATTATCAAAAGATTATGGATAGAAATAGGGGGTGTTTTTTAAAATGCTCTTAACAAGTTATTATAAAATGTAATATTAAAGGCTTAAAATCTAATACGTTAATTTTGTTCCCATATGTAATATATATATATATATATGCAAGTAAGTGGTTTATATAAAAACTAATATAGTAGTCATCTGTCATTGAATAATCATTCGCAACATCAATTGTCACGCATATCTACGTGACAGCACCAATGAATTCATTATGTTAAAGAAAAAATTAACGATTTTAGCGTTAATTTTTTTTTTAAATAAAAATATATATTGACTCAGTTTTTCTGCAGAAATGTTAATCGCTATCGCGTGCGTTGGGTGTTGTTGTTTCCTAGGTGCTCGGTAATTTATGTAAATTTGGTCTATTGTCTAAATGTTACTCGGTCAATATGAATGGTCAAAAATAAAAGAACTTGCAAAATTAAAATTATATGCGTTAAGTAGTTGGCATACAGTAAGTGTACTCAGATTAACGCTAGCTTAGTTATCAAACAATGTTACACTAATAAAAATTAGTTTTACAAAATAACAACTTCATAATGCTATATTTAAAATTTTATAATTATACTTTTTTTAATTATTTATGTAAAAAAAATCAATATTATAAGTGTTTGTGATTTAATTGTTACCAGTAACATACTGTATAATACATGCATGTGTCCGTGTGTAATATGTGAATGATCGTAATCTATCACTTTTTCTTTTGACACAAGGATTTTAACAAAAAAATTTTGTTTGTTTTTGTTTTTGAGTAGCCACACCGCTATGGCTGCCGAATTGTATGTTAAGAAACATGATAGTGTCGACTTATCGTCTCGACATCAATCGTCTATTGTCCGTTGGCAGACAGACAAAATTCAGCAGCCTGTTAACGGGTCCAGTTTACCGGTTAATCCGAGAGCAATGGAACTTGATAATTTGAGTAATTTAAACGACACAAGGAAAAATATTCATCAAAAAGGTATATTTTAATTATAAAAATGATAATTTTTTTTTAAATTAAATACAAAACATTTTTTTTTTAAATAATAATTATAAGAATAAATTTTTATCTTTAATTGATAGGGATCCTAAAAAATGCTTAAACTATATCTTGTTAATGTATTATATAACAAATTTAAATAGCTTCTATGAAATTTTTGCTCCGTTAATCAACATGTTCAAGAAATAATGGTATTGTGTTATAATATCAAGAAAACGTGACCCTTTCGGTGACTTTACTATTATGTCTCCCCCAAACTTTTTTTTTGTATTGTTATTAAAAAAGTGTCCATTACGTCATTAATATAATCAATAGAAAAAGTGCTGACCTTAAAAAATTGTTGCTGTAGGCGCGTGCCTTTATTGCCTATATGAAAATACGTCCTTAGTTATTATTATTTTTTTTTTTGTTGATTCCACTAAGTTTTAATCAAGTGACAAATATTTAGGTGTTAATCAAAAATATATGTGTGGGTAGTTAACATGTCTACTTGAGTGTTTCTTAGTAGTACTATGAAATGTAGGAAAATAAATATCCTATAGCTTAGATGGTAGTTTGTAGTATTTTATATTTTCTTTCCATAAAAAAAAAATTACCTTTAATATGGATAAAAAAATGATACTTATTAAATTTAATAAAATTGAGAAATTATTATAATTTTTTTAATAGTTCATAAAAATAAAAATTAGAATAATTAAAAATAAATATTATTATAAATATTATAATTAGTTTTGTCGCATCTCTAAAGAAATATTTAATGTATAAATTAAGATCACCTATTTTAGAGATTTTTGTGTATAAGGGATACAGAATGTTTAATAAGTAAGGAAACAGGTCAATTGTAATAAACAATGAGAACAATAGAAATTCTTTCCTTACTTACTGTATAGCCTATACAGGGTGTTCAGTAAGTCAGGAAACTGGTTTCTATTGTTCTCATTGTTTGTAACAATGAGAACAATAGATACCCGTTTCCTGACTTACTGAACACCCTGTATACCACCTGTATTTACCATTTATGTAGCAGAATATTTCTGACAAAAAGAAATAAAAAAGAAGTTAAATATAATAAAAATATACAGATTATTCTTATAATGCTAGAAAACTCGATTTCTCTTAAAATCATAATTATTTAAAAAAAATTACTTTTGATATTTTTTAGTGTCATATATTTTTTGATTTATCAACAATTAATTACTTTTTTAATTCATCTCTTATACTTTAAAAGGTTGTTCATTTTTTTGATTAGTAACTTATATTTTTAATAATCTTTAAAATAGGAAATGATTTAATTAAAAATGACTGGTCAATAAAAATTTTGAACCAGTATCTTGATAGCTTATTAACATTTTTATAACTAGGCGAGAGGAGAGGTGCAACTGAGAAATGTATGATAAATATTGACATACTCACGACTCCCCATTAATATATTTCTTAATGGATAATAATTAAATAATAATTTTATTCTATAAACAAGTATTATCATAATTTAAATGTTCTTTTTTTAGTGGTTACAATAAGTATATACTAAATTTTTTATAAAATTTGAACTAGAGCCTTTTTTTAATGGTTTTTGACAGTAAGAGAAAAATTTCAAAATTTAAAGAGCTCTACAAATCCCTATTTTGTCTGGAATGACTTGAATTTCAGCACTTGTTCATATTATGTATAATAATGGAGTCTTTTGCCAAAAAATTGATTACCAAGAAATTTTAGGAGAAGTATGGGGAGAATTCACGGATTATTTTGAATTATTTCTTAGTGATTTAAGACATTATTATCAAATTTTCTTAGATATCATAATTAAGTCATATTTACTTAATATATCTATATAATTATTTTACAACTTACTTAAATATTACGTTATTAAACAATCATTATCATGCTTTTTTCTATATTATATCATTTATTATTTACTAATTATAAAGTAAATAGTTATTATTGTTTTGAACACAACATACTAGAAAATAAAAAAGTATTTATATCAAATTTAGTGAAGCTATAATTGAAAAACAAAATATTTGTTTTAAGTTACAAATTTTCATTGCTAAAAAAAATTCAACATTTTACTCACAAGTAAATTATTTATTAATAAAGATTTTAATTGTTAATTTTTATCAATTTTATTATTTCACAGCATTCAAAAAAACAGAAAATTATTCAAAGAAGTTAGAATCATTTAACGGAAATGATCAGTCATTTAAAAATGAAGAATAGTGAGTTTATTCTACCATTTTGTTAGTTGCGTGTAATCGTGTTATTTTCATGTACGAATAAAGTTTAGTATAAAAAATAATAAAATTATATAGGGTTGTTAAAGATAATTATTTTTAGATTTAGGTCACATAAAGTAGGACACCAGTAAAAAATTATAACCCTATTTAGAAATGTATGTATACGAACATTTTTAAAAAGAAAATTTATATTACTATTATAATAGTACAATATTTTGCTGATAGTGTTAATTTATAAATATTAATTTTTCTAAAGTTTTTTTATCTATTTAAAATAGAATTAGTTTATGAAATTTGAAATTAATCTGATAACGTACGAAGTGGTAATTTTAAGTTTAATGGTATTTGTTAAATACAAACATATTATATTGTGTATTTAATTTTAAATACAGATGTTATTTTTTAAATTCTTATAAAATATGTTCATAATAATATTTTTTCTATAAGACCTTTCTCTTCTCATTCAATATTTGAGTCACAGAAGCAATTTAATATGATAATAATTATTGTAATAGAGTTTATCAATAATTATAACTTAGAAATACTTTTTCCTACGACAGCAAGCACCCTATGGTTAGAGGGTATAAAAAATAAATTTAAATAACACATTGAACCCTACCTACGTATCAAACCAATATCATCGATGACAAAACTAGGCAGCGTGACAGGCGCATATTGTATACTATTTTTATATGTTTCTAGTTAATTATTGTAACCGCATCCGTTTGTTCGCTCGTAGACCGCGTACGTTTTGTTTCATTAAAATTTGTAAATATTTCACCTATTGAAATTAATAGAATACATAAATGTCAGTGCTGTTAAAATATAATTCGTTACATACGTAGAGTAATTATTTTAGTTTGAAAAAAGTCTCAAGCGGCTGGAAAAAAACTAAATTATGATAAAATTGTTGTTAAATAATAAACATGTCCACTTTTTTTAATTGAACTTGTACACGAATACTAGAGCTAGTATAACTTAAATGTTTAAAATTTTTGTGAGCTAATGTTTTACTTTTAACTTATCAGAGAAGTACTTGTTTACTATTTTACTATTATCTCTAATAATTTAATAAGTGCTAGTGGTTACAATTTTAATATTTACTGTACGCTTTATTATATTAAGTGATATTTAAAAGTTCGATTTTAATGATTTCCCATAACGGTCTTTCCTACACCACAGCCAACAATGTGAATAGAACCGGTGTTGATATCATTGAGTTTAACTTCATTCCATTAGCGGAGAACAAAAAGTACATTATTATATTATTATGAATAAATTCATGATAATATAACTTAAAATAAGCTTTATATAATATTTCGTTAATTTATAGTAGGTATAATACAAAATTTACGCTTGATATGTAGTGAAATGCTTCGTGTTATTTGATATTAGTTATTTGATTTTTTAAACGTAAAAAGTTTAAACATTTAAAAAATTTGCAATTGAAGTATTTTATACTTATTCAAATGCCAAGTTTTTTTTTTATCATAAACTACTGAAGTACTGGTAAAATTTAAACAAATTTAGAATTTGTTTTTTTTTAAATATAACTAGTGATAATTAGCAGATAATTTTTGCTTTTTCATGTTCTTTGTAAAAATATTTAACTAAGTCATATTTTATTTTAAATAATAGTAATTAAGATTTTGTTTTTTTTAAATAAATAAAGAGTTAAGTTTAATTTAAAAACAAATTGAAATTTTAATTTTATTTAAGCATTAAATTTTGTCAGCATATTACAATAATAAAATTATATCATTATTAAAAGCATAATCTTCTGTAAATGTATCGACTAATACTTCAAATTAAGTTATATCAGTTATAGTTGATTATTCTATAAGAAAAAAGAAAACATATTATTAACTCAAATTAAATATTTAATTGGTTAAAGAGAATAATGTGCAAAAAAATCAATTGTATTAATACATGCTAATAACCATTGATGCTAAATCTAAAGGATTTAGCATTTAATTTTAATAAAGTTAAAAGAAAACAAAACGATAGTTTATTTATCAATAATAATTAAAATACAGTAAAATTAAAATACTATTATTGTACACTAGAAAAATGTTTCATTTACTTAAATGAGTTTAAAACTAAAATTGGTATCGAATTAAATTATTTGTTATAGTTCTGTTTTAATTGACCACTTAAGTTCGCTAAGAAAGATGAATCAGTAAAAACTTGTATTTAATAATAAATTGTTATTACACACAAATAAATAAAAACTGATAGAAAGATAAAGAAAAATAATGTGAAACTCTATTGCTTACAAATAGTAAATGAATAAGGAATAACGGTAAGAATAATGATGATTTTTATTCTATATGAGAAGGTATAATATATATGTTATTATGATTATTATTATTAAAAAAGCTATTACAATATTATGCTTTTTAGCATTTAATATTGATTGCTCACCTGTATACATAATGTAATCGTTAGTAACCATGATCGCAGTCAGGCGTTTTAGTGTCATTTAACTTTGAAAATTCAACATATACTGAAAAAAACCTTCGAAGGTCTAGACTAAGGCTACTAATTTTTTTAAATTAATCGAAAATAGCAACGAATGATAATTTGAATAATTTGAGTAGACTGTAAAAAATTATCAATAGAACCCCTTTTAATAAAAATAAATATTTGTTTTTTATAATTAATAATTGACCCGAACAAAAATAATAGTGTAGGTCTAGTCCAGAATCGCTGTCTTATTCCACTAATGTTAACAGTGATCGCCGCCTTTAGAGACTTTTTTTAAATTTAAATGTCTTTAAAAAAAAAAAAAATTAGATTCCATTTACCATTCTTTCCTTTATTATATTTTAATTTTACTTTAAATTAAAAAATCAATACAACTCTTGCCCTTCTAAAACCTATACCCACCAAGGTCTTTTCACTCAAATATAAGTATATATTATTTATTATGATTAAAATTTATATCAAGACTTTAAGTAAAGGGGACTCAGTCTTCTAACCTTTAGCGACAATTAACTAGCATCCTCTCTAAATTGTAGTTAAAATATATGTAATTTTATTAATAGATGGAATATTAAAAATGGTATAAAGATTTGGTTCTTCTGTGTTTTTGTTTCTTTAAGCCCTAAACTTACATTGAGTTGTACACTATATAGGCGTATATTTTGTTTCCATCAGCAAAGCTATAGAAATATTATTTGAAGTCAGGTCATAAACGTATCTTACAATATACCAAATCTCTATAAATGACCCAACTAAATAATTTCGTATACCGCATTATGTTTGCGTAAAAATCATTTTTGTTGTTCACTAGTTGGCTCCCGCATGATTACTTTGACTTATTCCATATTACTTGAAATTAAAACAAAGGGTTCTTTCACTTTTTGAGTAATTGTACTCACTATATGTTAATCTAAGTTCAAGAAGTCAGAATTTATTATATATTTTAAGTCTTTTTCTTTAAGAGTAATTGATTTAGTTAACAAACAAAACCTTATGGATTATTTAAGTAATTGTTTTGTATCCATATTGAATGAGGTTTATTTTATGGATCTATGAAATAGTAAAATTTTATTTAAAATAAATGGTTAACTGTTTAACTAGTAAAATAATATAATATAGAATAAATTGTTTAAACATAACAAAATATGTTCATTTTAATTATTTTTGAAAAAAATTAACATTGTTTAATAAATATATTTATTTAAAAATATTTCCATAGAAAGTTCTCAAACATTACTAATTTTTTTTAAATCAAAAAGATTATTTTGTCCCAAGCATTTACTTGCTCCACTTACCCTAATGTAAAGACAGCTACTGTTTTTGAATTGTAGTGTATAAAAACTATATATAACTGTAATGTATTTCTGTGTAGTTCATGGTGGTACATACTTTGCTTAAAATGTCGAAAAAAAGAAGTGGGTCCTGGCTGGGAACCAAAGACGTGGTCAAGAGGTTGTCCATATCCATTTTGTCCTTCATATAGACATGTAGCTCGAGTTTTAGCATTACTCATAACTGGGGCGCTTATCTGGGGCGTTTTGTTGGTAATAATAGGCGTAGATGCCCGACCCGGCGGTCAACTATTTAATATCGCACTTTTGGTGATAATCGCCTACTTAGTAGGATGGATATTTCGCATGTTAACATTACCTGGTTTAATCGGAATGCTCATGGTGGGCATGATTTTTCAAAACTTTGGACTGATCCATGTGCATGATCCATATACTAAGGTTGTATCAACTTTGCGGTAAGTCTTAATTCAACTCAACAATGATAATAATTAGTTTTTTTTATTTTCCTATACATTTTCTTTAGAAAAATTGCACTGGTGGTAATTTTAACAAGAGCTGGTTTAGATTTGGATTCGAAAGTTCTAAAAAAAATGTATTTTAGAGCACTAATATTAGGTTTAGTGCCTTGGTTCGTGGAGGCTGCTGTGATTGCAATTACGGTTAACATCCTACTACATTTACCATGGGGATGGGCCATTCTTTGCGGGTATTATCTTATAAAAATAAACTATAAAAGAGAAGAACCAATTTTTTATAATTTCTTTATTCCTCTAGGTCGATTATTGCAGCGGTTGCACCTGCAGTAGTAGTTCCATGTCTATTTCGTCTCAGGTCAAAAGGATATGGAGTAGCTAAAGGAATTCCTACACTGATAATCGCTGTAGCCGGCATTGATGACGCAGCTTCAGTTGTGGTATTTGGAGTAATTAATACTCTTCTGTACACTACATCACGTTAGTATATTAATAAAAATTAAATAAACATAATAAATACTAAATTTAAATTACTTATTTGAAAAATTGGTTCAATTGATTTTTGTTATGATAGTTAATCAGTGAAAACGTTTTTTTTATATTTTTTTGATAAGAAAAGGTAAAGTATACCTAAAATTCAGCACAAAATATAAAAATTTGTAAAATATGAAAATGTAAAGGTGTTTTTGGTCAAATTCATATGAAATAAATTTAAATTTATTCTCATTTTATATTTCTGTAAATATTAATACTCAAATTAGTAATTGTTGAATGTAATAAATGCCTAAGCACAAGTAGAATGTGATAAAGTAGACAAAGAAGTGTTTTGAAAAGAGATGGATGAAATGATGCAAGAAATACCTGGTAATGAAGATGCGGTTATATGTGGAGATATGAATGGACATGAGTAATATGGTAATGAGAGGAGAGAACACGAAAGAGTACATTTAGTGTATAGTATTAATGGAAAGAATAAGGCTGGAAAAAGAATCCTGGATTTCGCACTATCGTATGATCTTGCTATGGTTAATACTTATTTTAAAAAGAGTAAAGAACATTATATAACTTATAAAAGTGGGAGTATTAACAGATTGATTTTTTTTTGTGAAAGAGAGAGTGTAAAGCGAGTAAAAGATTGTAACGTTATCCCAGGCAAGAGAAACTTCAAAACATAGAATGATGGCAATGGAATAGTGGGAAGAGAATATACAAAAACAAAAAAAACACTTGAGGAACATTAAGGGTCTGGTGGTGGAAATGGGGGGAAAATAAAAAATGAGTTTTTCAATACGGTAAAAGAGAAGACGGTTGGAATGTCGAAGGAGACTTAAATTATGTGCGGAATAGATTTGCTAGTTGTGTAAAAAATAATGTTAAGGATATTGTTGATGAAAGTAGGAGTAGAATAGCAAAAAATCTGTTGGTAGGATGAAGACGTTCAGAAAAAAAGAAAGTAAGAAAAAACAGTTTTAAGTATAATAAAAGAGCAAAATGAGAGAAGATTGGATGGAGTACAAACACTTGTGTAAAGAAGCCAAGTGTGTGGTAAATAAGACGATATTTAGGAGGTATGATAGGATAGGAATAAAGGAAGGTGAAAAAAGATTCTATAGACTTGCAAAAGTAAAAGAAAACAGTCTAAAGATTATTAGAATGTAAGGCGTATAAAAAGTGATGATAAGAGGATGCTAAAGATCGATACTGATGTTATAAATAGGTGGAAAGAATATTTTGAAAAATTACTGAATCAGGAGCATTCGAGAAAGACATTAGAGGATATTTTATGGAACAAGGGACTGGTATATTTAATAAGTGAGATATAGGTGCCTACTTCAAGTAGTTGGGATAATGGCGGGGGAAAAAATAACTAATACTCACATTAGTAAAAAAAAAAGTTATACTATTGTCATAACTTGAACATCATTTAAAAGTAAACTAATTTTTTTTTAATAGATAATAATATATATTTTTTATAGCAAATATGTCCATTGATTTAATTTTAAGTCCAATGTCTATAATAATTGGCATATTATATGGTATTGTATGGGGTTTCATCGTTAAGTATATACCTGAACGTAGTGATGTAAGTAATCAAGAAAATATTTTAAGATAAATAAAAATTAATAAATTAAAAACTGTAATTTATGTTATCTAATATTTTAAAACGTTATGCTTTGATTTTATTTTTCTTACAAAGTAAATTATAAAGTATATACTATTAAATCAATAAATTGCATTTTTAAGCCGTATGTTGTCCCATTGAGGATACTAATGCTCAGTGGAGGTGGATTATTAGCTGTCTTTGGTAGTGAAAACAGATTCTTTGAGGGAGCTGGACCATTAGCAGTAATTTCAGCAGCATTTACATCAATATATTTTTGGACTAATCAAGGATGGAACATAGAAGACGTAAGTTTTTTATAAGTTTAAATAGAAATTATTTTTTTTATCGAAAATATAAGTTTGTAACTAAATAGTAGGCATTTTTGCATACTTTACAAATAATAATTAATTATAATTTTAAAATATAAATATTGTTGCTTCGATCTTCTCCATAATTATTATACATAGTAATTTTTAATTTGATAACGGTTTTATAAATTGAAATAACTTTTAGAGTTGATATTAAGGTAAAATTATTTATTTTCGTTTAGTTAATACTTGAAAATACAAGGCCATGTGAAATTTGTTCGCTAAAATAATCAGTAAATATTTCATTAAATTTATTTTATGTTACAGAATGCAGTGGCGACAGCTTTTGAAATATTTTGGATGATTTTCGAGCCAATTCTATTTGGATTGACTGGTACCCAAATTGTGGTCAATAATTTAAACATGAAATTTGTGATAATAGTTGTTTCGTGCGTAGCGGTTGCTATTGTGGTATTTTTATTAATTTTTATTAATTTTAATTATTTAATTATTAATTTTATGTATAAAAACAGTAGTTTTCAATGATATTTTTAGCTATATCTACAAGCTCTTTCTTAACCAAATTCTTTCCTATTATTTATAAAATCGAAACCCTTAATGATTATGTCAATGCTTACACTACAGACAGTAGCTTTTAGTTCAAATTTTTAATAGTTAATACATCACTTATAATGTTTAAAATTATGTATATAACAAAATTATTAGAAAATATTTGAGTCCATAATTATTTGAACAAGAGTGAATTAGTTACATACATTACTGTGTAGTACAATCTGTGAATTATGTATACAATATTTTATATTAATTTTATGTAAACCTTATAAAATATTCAATTTAATGTTCCGATTTATTAATTAATTTTCATTTAAACAGGCTAGAATTATTACAACCATATTAGTAGCTACAGGAAGCTCATTGAATTTCAAAGAAAAGCTCTTTATTTCTTTATCTTGGATGGCCAAGGCTTCTGTACAAGTAATTATAATATTTAATTATGAATTTACAGGTGAACCAGGTAAAACAAATAATTGATATAATTAATTACTTTATTTTGATGACTCCAAATACTCGAGCGACTACTCGTCGAGTTAAATCTCGTCTTTTCTTGTAACCAGTAGAATCAAATTTAAAAAATGAACTATAAACCAAAATAATGAAACTCGCAAATATTAATGGTCGGTATATCTCTTTTGATATTATATTACTATGGTTCTCTAATAATAATGACAACTAATAATCTTAATATTTAATGTTAGTAGTTTCTTAATTAGTCTTAACAAAATATGTATCGAAAAATTATCGACATACAATATAAAAAATAAAATTCCAATTCTTGGATTCTTGTGAATTGTTTAGCCAAAACTAGATTGATGGGTTTTTTCACAGTGTATTTAATCTCTAATAGATTTGATTGGATTGTAATGATTTGATCAGTATACTGGGCAGCGATAAATCGTTAAATGCAATATGCCCGACGCTTCGATTTTACAAAAGTAACGATTTATAAATTTACTAGACTCAATAATTGTTCAAGGCGAATATACATTGATACACCATTGATCATAGTGTATTTTATTATTAATTGGCTTTTTATCGAATTACTATAAATGAAAAGAATAACAAATTTTAGGTGGTAAACAGTTAACTCTTTTTTTAGAAAAAAAAAACATTATTTAGTTAACGCTTTTTATGAAACTGGTAACCTTTTAGCGACATAAAATACCGGTTTAAAGTAAATCTAGGTTTTACCGGAAACAATTAACCCTTTTTTGTAAAGGTTTTAAAACCTGAAATGATTTAATTTTTACAATACAATTGTTTTAAGGATAAAATATGTTAAATATGTTAATTTAAATTTTACCAGAAATTTTATAATTAAATTTTGTCGTCTTATATTGGTCATACTTTATCACCAGTCCGTGCTTATTATTTAGCTCAGCTCTTTAGCTTTTCATAATATATATACTCTCTTCCGATATCATTTTACATTCTCAATCAGTCATAATTATTTATTCTATTATTATTTTTTTATAGAGAGATAATATTATTATTTAAATGAATCTAATTAATATTCAGTATTTATAATACTTGAGGTGCAATTTTTTTAAAAATATAATTTCAATAAAGTAAAAAAAACATATTTGTATTTTCTTCTTGTAAGATTAAAAACTGCTAGTTGATTGATTGTATGTTTTAATTTATAGGCTGCTTTAGCACCAGCTGTGTTAGAAATGGCAAAAGAAGATGGAAATCTAGAGAACGTTAAGTTTGCTCAAACTATTGTTATGATTTGTATATTAGCTATCTTGTTAACAGCTCCTACAGGCGCTCTATTAATTACTCTGACTGGAACTCGATTGTTGACTAAAACCAAAAACTTCCCTCCAAAAGGTCAGTGGCGACCAGGTCCTAGGCGATCTATTCGAGATATAACAATTAACGACAAGAAAGATGACGAAACCAGCAAAGAAGTGAATACAATTGAAGAAGAAAATACCTATGACGATAAAAAAATTACAGATACAAACAAAACGTCAGAAATACAAGTCGAAAAAGTTTAAACAATTTCTACAAAGTGAATTATTTTGAGTAGAAATGAAAAATAATTATGCAAGAGTGGTTAACAGTTTGTATTAATAGTTACCCAATTTATGTGATTTAACGGAAATGTAAACACCAAAAAAATTAATTTTACACATTAAAACTGTTAGTAAATATTGCTATACAGTTAAGGAAGTAAGTTTCTTTATCTAAATTTACTCTTAGATTTCTTTTATGTAGAGTAAAATTATTTGAAATATTTAGTAATATATAATCATTTAATACTAAATTCATTAACCTTAGGTTATTTTATCATTTCATGACTGTATCGTTAAATTCTATAATATAATGTAAAATTTTGTTCAATTGAAATTATCTTCATATTAACTAACGATATTATATATAAGATGGTCCAGTAATAAGTAAACTTTCATTTAGATTGTACATTTATATTATGTAATATTTTTAAAATTTATGTATTATAATTTATTTATCCCACCACCACTCTCTCTTAAAATAAATCATAGTTTGTATTAATATTTTTACAATTATAAATAATGAACATTAATTTTATCTATAAATTTTAAATATACATTGTTTTGAATATTTCCAAAACTCTATAAATGTGTTTTAAAGTATTTAGAGTTTGGGTATTTATTTCAGGTGGTATTTTCAATACCTTCTTCAAGCAGCATTTAAATTATTATAAAAATGCATAATGAAATAATAATTTAACAGAAACAACTTTTTTTTTTACAAAAATTTGTATGGACTATTATGTTAATTAAACTAAAATGTTCATAAACGTTACTTTAAAAAAATTACATAATTAAATCAAAATATAAAACCTTATAAATGTAGATTAAAATAAGTAATGGAAATAAATGATGCCTACAAAATATTTAGATAAATGTAAAATTGGGTATTAATTGTAAAATGCACAATAATCGGTTATTTTTTTATAATGTTATTTATAAGTATAATTTTGTTATATATAAAATGCACCTTTTGAAATAAAGTCTTAATTCAATATAATATTTTATATAAAATTTTGTTTTTAATTATGTACGTCAGGAAGTTTTTTGTAATCAATATTTAAAAATCAAATAAAGAACGATAAAACAGTATAGAAACGAATAGTATTACTGTTTATTTGTTTTTTATGCATTTCTACACCATTCTTCCGATTGCCATGAAACTTTGTCAAGTACAATCCCGCAAAGGTTTTTGGTACAGTACGTTTAAAATTTGTGGGTTGGTTTTTAAGTTCTTAAACATTTTGTAACTATGTTTGTAATGAAGACTTCGATTCAGTTTTACACGTTGCCCGGATCTGTGATAATTTGTTGTAATGAATGCGCAGTTTATTTTTAAATAGAGACTTAATTTTAAAAGCTTATTATATACTTATCTTAAACTAGTTGAAAAAAGTAACCAACTTGCTAAAACTCGCCTTAACTTAACCAGTATATTCTGTTCACCTTTATATTTATGATTAATTTTTATCATAAAACATTTTTTAAGGTTTCACTGAATTAAACATTTCTTAATTCAATAAAAAGACATGATGATGTGTTATAGATATTTCATGAACTTTTAGAAAAGTTTCAATAAAAAAATTGATGAATTTTAGTAAACTCTTACATTAGAGGAGGTGATACTAGTGCTAAATATTTTTGTTGTTACATTTTTTCTGAGAAATACTTTCATATCTCAGTTATATTAATGGTGACCTTTTTATATAATTTTTTAGTGAACTGTATAAACCACACCCAACAGTTAAAAGGCCCCTGAATATATTAGTTTTTTTATGGGACACACAAGTTGTTTTTTTTAATTATTATAATCAACTGTTACTTTTTTTACTTTCGTTTAGACTGCATATAAATTTCGTAATTAATTACATTTTTTAAGAACTATTATTAAAACTTTATTTTGTTTGCATTATATACATATTTAACGCATAGGCTATAGAGTATCTATTTACATTTTTTATTATTTACAAATGGGTTTGTTTAAAATTTTCTTCATTTTTCATTTCAATTTATTTTGAAGTATTAATGTATTATCGTAATTTTTTTAATTTGAATAAATATGTATAATGTAATTTAATTCAATAAATATCAAAGTTTTTATCAAGATCATCAGAATTTAATCAAATCATCAAATTTTTCGACGAAATAAAAATAATATTGATAATTTTTTTTATTATTATTATTATTTTATTTTTGTTATATATTTTTTATGTTCATATATTATAGCATATGGTTGGTGTAGAATCAGAAAAACGTATTAATCGGGAGAAAAATGTTAATTTTTAAGACTAAATTATTTAGTCTTTTTCGTAGAATTGATTGTTGTAACAATAGAGCTCTTAGAGTTAGTAGTTATAAATTCAGTTAAAGTTGCATAAGTTAAAATTAAAATCCAATAAGAATAATTGGATAAAATTGTTTTAAAAATTTATTTATTTACGTCCCTTTGATCCTACACCGACCATATATGAATATCAACTTGAATTTATTTTTAAATGAACACATACATAATTAACTAGCTTATTTATTAGATAATGATGAAATTTAGACAATTACTGGTAAATATCAACTTTGGGTTCAGTATTTTGGAAGTTTTGACATTTTTATATCTAGACGCAAAGAAGTGTACGGCCAGAAATTAATATTAATAAATAATCACTATAAAGTGTTATTAAACTACGAAATAGTGGTCCAAAAGTTGTTATTGATTATTTTTTTTATTATCATTATCTAACAAATTAGTAGTTAATTATGTACGTTCCCTTTTGAAAACACAAAATTCATACCTTTATATGGTATGAGAGATGAACTTCAAAAATATTTCATAATTCAGGAATTGAGAAAAATCTGAAACTAAAAAACACCAATATAAATATTATCAACATTATTTTTATTTAATCGAAAAATATGTTGGTTCATTAAATTCTGACAACCTTATAGAGAACCCAATATTTTAAATGTTGATACAGCTTTTTAAAAACTGAAAGATGTTAAGAAATTTCAAATAATGCTTATCACTTTGATAAGACAATTATAATTTTGATATATTTAATTATTACCAAATTTCTCTATAAAATAAAAACTTTGAGCCATGTTGTAGTAGTCTATTTAATTAATTATTTTTTTAGTAAGATCTTTGTGTTTTTATTTTGGGAATACAGTGTATTTGTTAAAAATATTACTCTCGTCCATTATTTTTTAGTATTACCTTTTGAGTTTATATACTTCTTAGATATTTGTTGAATATAGTTTTAATTTTAAGTAATACTAGACACGAATGATAATTTTTTATTTTGTACGTTATTGTAAAAATAACTCATCGCTCTATTTTCAAAATGTAATAATATAAAACTGGATATCGACCAGTCAAAATAATACTTAGACCATTCTTCATTTGACAGAAAAAAAAATAGACGCTCATTTAATTTTTGAAAGTTACACTAAAATCTACACGTAGAAATATTTTTTTTACAATAAACTTGTTATTTACAATAAATCATAAAAATAAATAAAATTTATAAAAACTTCGTAATTAACAAAAAAATAGGGTTGTAATATATTCAATAAATTACACAGTATTATAAAATCAGGACTGATTGATTTTTTTTTATATTCAAATGTTTATTAACACCTTGACGGACAGTTAATGACATGGTATTTTACAAACACTGGTTTTATGAGATGCATGGGGTCAGAACAACTTCCTCCTTCATAATAAATCGTTGAAAATATTACTGCTATATTAGTAATGACATTTTTAGGATACTTTAGATAGAATATTTTTAGAATAGTCATATTTTAATATTACAGCTGTTATAGCCGTACTTATACTGTTATAGTAATATATGTTTTTGTCCATCCACGTGTTAATATATAAACATATTTCTGGTGGTTTTTCTATAGTACATAAGTTTTATAAAAAATCATTGTTAAGTTATCGTACATCCGTTAGCTCAAAATAAATGGATAAAATTTTTCTCGGATATGTTTTATCAAGAAATCACAATTATAATCAGAACTGATTGAAAATTATATAAAATTAATATTTATGTCCAAACAATTAGTTACTGGACATTAATATGTATAACCACGTATTGAAATTATGGTTATTGGGATACATAGTTTTTTTGTTGGACTAGTAATGATTTTTACTAGTTGACGTCATATTTTGTTTTTAATTTTGAATAGTAGTATAGATATTTAAATATATTATATTATCGCTTTAAAATAAACAAATAAGTATTTTCTAAAATGATACCATAAATGTTACTGGGTAACTATTATATTATTCATTACAAATAAATAAATATTATTTAAGAATAGTTTATTCATTTAGAAAATTGTCATTGAGTTAAGTTTCATAGAGAACTTTGAAGTGTGAACTCTATAAGATACCTTGTAAATATTCAACTTTCAGAGTATATTACTTTTTAAACTTATTATATGTAGTAAAAATTATGTAATGTCTAAAATATCTAATTGATCATACTTCAAACCAATATACTTTTATTGATAATACAAATATACGAAGAATCCTGTAAATTTACATAGTTTAATATTCAATTATTTCACTAAATTTAATAACTAAAGATAGAATGACTGGCAATTTTAATATGAATATCAATCAATTATACAAACTAAATACTTGTATAACAAGTAATATAACATTTACAATAATAGAGATGAATTTGATAACAATCTCTATCTTTAAATTTAGTGAATATCTTAGGTATTTTTTATATAATATAATAATAGTATATATAGATAAATAATATTTAACAGCTATAGGAAAACGTAAAAAATACACAAAATATACAAAAAAACAACAACAATTATACATAACTTGGAAAAAAATACAGTAAAAACTTAATACAATATATTTTTGAGTACTAAATAAATAATATAAAGTTAATCTACTATTTATTAGTAGTAAGTCGTAGTATATCTCTTAGTATTCATTGAATAATTAATTATGACTCATTTATCTATAAACCATGATAAACATTCAGTTAAAAAAAGACAAAAACAATCACATAATAATTACTCATAGAGGATAAATATACCTTATGAATATATGTATTTTCTAAGAGTAATAAGCCGTGTTAACTGTATGATATATAGTTTTAAAATAATAAATTTTAAGGTATTAGAATTAAAAAATTAAAAAATGTTGAGAAACACGTTAATATTTCTTATGATCTATTAATTTAAAGACTAATATTATACAAACACACAGAGGAAATGTCTATTAAGACTCTTATCCTTTTTGTCTATATTTAAAAATGATATTAACTATGATAGAAAACCTAACCCAACGGAACCAAGTTAATTTATATTTTAAAACTTATTTTAGACCAATCAATAATTAATTTAATCCATTATTTATATTTATCATTATTTATGTATAAATGAAACTTTATTCATATATTTATATATAAATTATTTAACAAAAAATTAGGGGATGTATACTTAATAAATCAGACTGTAATTTTTTTAGGAAAAATGAAATAAATATTATATAAATATAATTATTGAAATAAATGAATTATAATAATGACTAAAAAAGTGTTATACAAGGATTCTTGACTACAGAACATTTAATAATATGAATTAGTTAACTAATTTTTTATTTATCGACATGATTTTTACTACTGTTCAATTTAACCTATTGTAAGTTTAAATTTAGTTATTAAATTTATGGACAAGCTTTTCAATGTATGTTTTACGAAATATATAAAATATTTTTACAATCTAGAACTGGAATTTTTCAATGGTTTACTGTACTGGAAATTAAATTAAACGAAGTATACTATTACTCATTTAAATCAATAATTTAATTTATAAGTGTTATTTTTTCTTAATTTCAAGAATATTTTATGCTTAAATTTTATACTAATTAAAATAATGTTACAATAAATTTTAATCAATGAAGTTCAGTGGCATAGTAAAAATGATACTCACAGTATCTCATTATTAAAATTAAAATAGCATAATGATAATGCTGAATTTTTTTATAGTACCATTCAAAATAGTGATGTAATAATAAATAATATTCAATTGTATGAATTTTACTTTAAGACTGACAATGTTATATTATAGTTCTAGAAGTTATAACTACTTGTTTTTCGAGAACTTCCATTCTGTGATGTACCCGATACAGTATAAATTTTGGTTGAATCTTTGGATAAGTCGCACGACTTTTTTAATTTTTTTTTTAAATCTGACAAGACTTTACGTTTAAGTACAAACACAAAAAATATTAGTACGCCCTGTAGTGAATTGACTGAATCTAATACTTCCCAAACATACTGCAATTGGGGTAAAATTCTTCCTAAAACTTCTGACGTCCATGATATTCCCATTACCAAAAACAATTTGATACTCATAATAAATCTGCGAAAAATATGAACATTTAATAATTGACTAAAAATAATCAATATTGCATTGATGTATGCAAACTGTATTAAAGTAAATATGATTGGTATATCATACATACATTCACATATATATTGCAAAGTTATTATCTTACTTTTCTTTTTCAGCTTGAAACCTTTTTGTTTTTGTATCGGATCTTTTGAATTTGTTAAGCTCTGACTTGATTCTGACACAATGCATGGCAGTTAATAAAAATAAGAATATGTTCACCAATAACATGATTGACATTGGAACCAAAAAGAATACCACAATACTATTATTGCTATCTAAAAATACAAATTACAATATTATATACATAACATACAATATTATACATATAATATTGTTAATTGTAATGAATTAAATTTCTTAAGCTCAAGACAAAAGAGTATGAAATACAATAATTTGATTCGATTTTTATTTCCCACATACAATCGTTTTTATCCGTTTTTTTAAGATCAATTAAAAACAATCCACAAAATAATACTACTCTCCAGAAAATTGAAATTCAAAAGACTTGCCCTTAGAAAATGAACGCTCATAGATAGTAATATTAGTATCCTTGATAAGATACTATATTCTATTGTGTTTCAGTGTTATGAACAGTAAATTAATGATGTATTGTTCTCTCCTCTCAGTATCGTTATAATTCTACTTGATATTATTGAATAATGAATCCAATAACTTTACTTACTAGTAAACCAACAACTATGAGAGCCCATGTTTGGTAATAGTTGTTCAGGGATAGTTCCAGAACCATAGAATTGAGCAGCTACAGTCAAACAGGTACATGTCATGGCAAATGTCCAACAGTAGATATTGTAGAATATTGTTCGTTTAGATATTGAAGTTTTCCTACGCACCGTATTTGTGTACCTAAAATTGACACACGTGTGTAGTATAGTTTTTATATTAAAAAATAATTTTTATCAAAATCTGCTTGTTGTTAGTATAACAACAATTTGTTTGTAAAATGTTTATACATATACATTGTGTTATGAATATATTATGACTAAAGATCATAATTTTTTCTAGTTAAAAAAAAAATTAAATAAAGACCATTAGAATTATAAAAAACTATATTAAACATAAATAAATAATATTAGTTAATTATTATGAATAATGGAAAACTTAAATAAATATTGTGCAAGATTACATCGAAAAAGTTAATTCTTGCCTTGTCAGCTAATTAGTTTAAGTAGATAAATAATTATGATAAATTATAAACAGTGTCGTATAAAAAAATTCTCTAAGCATTGTTATAGTATATTAGTATTGTAAATTATAATATATTGGTATATAAAAAATTAACATCAATATTAATGCAGACTACTTAAAAATAGTGAATAAAGTAACCTTCAAATCTAACCATATCTTCCAGATTTCCATCGAGGACATTTTATCAATGAAATGTATTGTTAAGTGTTGTTAGTTATTGATCATTATATTATTTAACTTCAAAGTTAAATACATTTTTTGTCTAGCACAGATATATTTACATTTATATTCTGATATTTTTTCCATAACAAATTTAATAAAATGAAATATCATTGTCATGGACAATGCAAAATAAATATTATGTAAATTATAATTATGAAAATGTTTTAAAACGTGCAATAAAAAGCTTCAGTATTGTTATGATTTTTCAAATAAGTAATTAAACATTTTCTAAAAATATAAAATTGGAGTTATATAGATTAATATAGTTTTTTTAAATTTCAATGATGTATAATATATATTGACATTGTGCACCGTTCAATATTATTTAGTACAATTTAATTTCATAAAAATTATCAAAATTATAAACGAATGAAATTCAATTAAGATTTTAGGTCCGTATTCAAAATATTGCAACTGAAATAAAAAAAAAAGATAGTATAGAAAGGTTTCTTTTTTAAATCAAATTTTTATTATTAAAAGTTCAACATAATATTAGCATACAAGTTAACTAAGTAAATGTGGTTCTCGTGTAAATAATAAATATAGTAATTGCTAACTTTCACGAATGTTGTCTATTTAATTATACTAAAACACTTAAATTTTATTTTATTATTAGAATAATATTTTATGTACTTAGTTGATAGTGCATACCTTAGAGTCCAATAGATATCAAAACAAATTACATTGAGCCAGCAAAAAGAAGCGAGAAATGCGAACAATGTAACATAACCTGGAATAACAAAATAATACTGAAGTATAATGACATAATCAAATAATACTAAAATATTAAAAATTTACTTGCTGTAAAAATAGCATAGTTTACAACAATAAACCTTGTAGTTTAATAATATTAATGCATTTTTAAAGAATTAGTATGTAAATAAACATGATGAAAAAAAACTTATGCCATTTAAATTAAGGCTACAAATATTTTTGTGCTGTAACTTTAAAAAAATTATTTTATGTTAATAGATTTTATATTCTCATATTTATTTTAATGTAATATTACGTTCATCAATAATATTTTTTACATTTCATTAATTAAGTGTTTTAAATACTTTATATTCAGTGTGGTTTTGACAAATTCTAAAATTTTTGGTTTGGTGACTATTTAATATTTATTATTTATAGTTCTTTTTTAAAAAAAATTTAATAAACTATTATAATTTATAATTTTAGATATGATTTAAACAATTTTTATAAGATTTTAGATTTCCGGCAAAAATTGGATAGGAACATTTCTTATTGATGTTTTGTAGTTAAACTGTAAAGTATTTTAAATTCATATATATATATAATTCTGGTTTTAAAACATTTTTATATATATCTTTAATTACTAGTTTTTACAAATAAAATTTATGAACACTATCAAAAGTTTTATCATTTAGCTAAAGCAAGATATCCTACTTCTATTATGTACTATAATTACAATATGATACTATACAATATTACAATTTTTAATACGATACTATTCACTATAAAAATCAAATTTTTAAAATATGATAATTTATTAACATATATATATATATGTTAGTAAATTTTAAATATTTTTACATTGTTATTATAGAAATATTTCCTGAGGACTAATCACTTATTAACTAATTGACTGCAACATCAAAATATAAATTAAAAAATTATTATTCATTCTGTGATAAAGTCATCCTACTAGGGAAAAAATGTTGAGTGCATATAATAAATTAAAATTTTAGAGCTTTTAACTGTACAAGGTGGTTTATTGTAAACCACTAGATTTTTTCTAAAATAATAATAATGTTAGACACTTTTTTTTGCCTCATTTTAGTAATAATTATTTTTTAGCTTCGATGCTAAGCTGAGAAGGTATTGGTTTTACTATGATGTGTTTTTTTTTTTTTTTTTTTATTTTTTTATTT